TAAAAATGAGTGTTAACTCATGTATGTGAATGAATTTGATATTTTCATTCCACCAAAGTTATTTTACTTGTTGATGCTTCAGTTGTTCAACCTTTGACCAATGCAAGTCTGTTCCTGTTGGCTCCTGAATCCTTTGACATGACTAGCCTTTAAAAACTTCCCTGCTGGAAAACTTTATGGCTACAAATAAAAGAATAAAGTTGGTTCACTCCCTATATCCATACACAAAAATAAACTCAAAATTAATTGAAGACTTAGACACAAGACCCATGAGAATAAAATATATTGAAGAGAACATTGTGATAAGTTATATTACATCAATGATAAAAATATTTTTGGAAGCTGGACCCTGTATACCAAGGGAACTAAAAGCAAAAACAAACAATTGGGATTACTCCAAATTAAAAAGAAGATATAAGTAGATTAAAAAGATATCCTTTTTTACCTGAATTGGAGGAACTATTCACACATAACGCAACTGACAATGGGTTAATATCCAAGATATGCAAATGATATTCAACTTAATAACAAAAAATCAAAAAGCCCAATAAATTGGCAACAGATGTGAACAGACAGTTCACCAAAGAGTATATCCAGAAGGCCAGTAGGTACATGGAAAACTGTTCATCATTGCTTTCAATAAGGGAGATGCAGATCAAAGCCACAATGAGATATCATCTAACATCTGTGAGAAAGGTACATATTAAAAAAGACCCCCAACAAGTGCTGGAGAGGATATGGAGAAAGAGGAATCCCGTTATACTGTTGGTGAAAATGGACTCTGGTCAAAGTAATTTTGAGAAACTAAAAATGGAAATAACTTGTGACGCGGCAATCCCATTTCTGAGCAGCTACCCAGAGAACAGGAAACCATCAGACAAAAATTTATATGCTCTAAAATGTCTACTGCAGAATTATTTACAGTAGCTAGGAGGGTAGCAACCTAAATGCCCACTGATAGAGGACTGGATTAAGATGATATAGGGTGTCAACAATGGAATACTATTCAGATGAAATGTTAACCATTCACAACAAAACAAGGAGCTCAAGGGAATTATATATAGTAAGCAAGTGAGAATGACAAAGACAAATATTATACATTTACACACATATAAGAAAAGTAAGGAATCATAGTGGATGAATCAACAAAACAAATACTTACAAAAACTAATAGATGCTAATAAATGAAGTGAGGCTTCTGAGTTCAGAGGGAGAGGCAAGAGAGAAAAGGTCAATGGGGCAGGAAGGGTGGTAGTCGGGAAAATAATTTGTAAAATGGAAAAAAATAAGGGCAATATATTCATGAAGGCTCCATCTTCATAATCTAATGCTCTCTCAATGGCCCCACCTCCATAACCAAGTCCAGATGTCTGAGAACCAGATAGCTGATGGAGTAGTTCCTGCTGAAAGGTCAACAATATCAAAGCCCCCAAAGATCTGATGTTTTGGACTGAGTTAAAATGCAGGAAAATGTTTATGTCCCATCTTGAAGTCAGTAAGGCAAGATGATTACCCTCTCACTCAAAGGTCACAAATTAGCTTTTTGCTTAAGTTAAGTTTCAGCTGATTGGATGAGTCCCACACGCATTAGGAAGGGCAATCTGCTTTACTCAGTCTAGATGTAATTGTTAATCTCATTCAGAAAGACGCCACAGGAATATACAGAATAATGTTTGACTAAATATCTGGGCACCCTGCAGTCACAGGACACTATTAATAGTACAGGCTTCATGTGCCAGTGTAAGGAGTGTGTCTTTGTCCTGAGAACAATGAGTTGCAATAGAGGAGAAAACAAGACAAAACAAAACTCCCTACTTTCTGCTAAAATAAGATGTTCCAGGCTTCTTTCTTTCTCTTTTTTTTTTTTAACATATCTGTACATATCCTACTTTGAATTGGATTAGTTACATCTCTAATTAGTGGTTTTCAAGAGAGACATGTGGACTCCTGGGAGTCTTTGTGATCCCTTCATGGTGTCTATGAGGTCAATATCATTTTCATAGTAATACCAAGATAGTCTTTGCCATTTTTAACTCTCATCCCCTCACAGATATTTATGGAGTTCTGCAAGAGCTACCTGGTATTATGCATTATGCATGGTCTGACTAAAGGCAGAAATGGCTTTAAGATTTATTTCATTTATTAAGTCAGACATTAAAGAAATTTGCAAAATTGGTAGATACTGACACTTCTTACTAAATAAATTTCGTTAATCGATATTTCATTATTTTAAAAATCTGCCTTAATTTCTATTGCAGTAAACATCAATAGATATAACCCATATAAACATTAACTTTGGGGTCCTCAATAATTTTTAAATTTAAAGAGGTTTGGGGAGCAAATATTTGAGAATTGCTGCTTCAGGTTATCATGATTCCTTTTAATGGAAAATGATAATTAGTGAGCATAATTCAGGAGCTAGAGATGTTTATGATTACTGGGTCTTCCATTGTTTTTAGGCCATTTTATTATTTTTTTTTAAAGATTTATTTATTTATTTATACAAGCACTGGGTACAGTCAGAAGCGTGGGAGAGTGAGAGAATTCACCAGAGCAGGGAACAGAACAGTCAGATTGACAAAATACACTGTTGAGGGGAGCAGTGGGTGAGACAGGAGAGGTCTGCTCGCCATGTGGGTTGCTCCGAGGCTGGAGGGGATCGAACCAGCGCTGCAGAGGCTGCGGACAACTTCACAGCGCTGCGCTCAACCGCCTGCGCCACCAGGGAGGCCCTTTAGGCCATTTTAATGGGCAGAACTAAGATCAAATTTTATGTGTGTTAGTGTTTGTGCATATATATATGATACACCATGAATTGACACTGATTTTTTTTCCATTCAAATATAGGATTATGAGTTTCATTTAAACTCATACAACTTACATATGTATCTTCCGTCTCTCATAAGAAAAATCTCAGCATAAACATTTATTTTCAGTATTAGATTAACAATACCACCATTACCATCACTACAAACAATATGACTACGTAAAAAAGTTTTGTGGGGTTTTTTTTTGCAGTTCATTTTTTTTTTTTGAGCATACCTTTATGGAGGTAATTAATTGGTTTAAAGTTTTTCAAAATGGTATGTGTTTTCAAGATTATGCCACTAAGCAGCAAGTTAGATCCATGTGCTTTTACTTTTGATTTTTAGAGGATGCTTTTGTAAATTTACTTTGTTTTAAAATGATATGAAATATTTCTAGAGTTAAAGCTATTGTATAAGATATATTCAGAGAAGTGTAGCGTCTATTCTATTCCCACCCTCTCTTTATAATGTTACATAGGTAATAGTTAAAAAGTCCATAGTTTTCCTTTCCATTATTTTTAAAATTTAAGCAAACATTTATATATATTTAATAGTAATACCATCCTCCCCTTTTCTAGAGAAAAGGAAGCATATACATACATTTCTTTCAACTTTTTTTCACTTAATAATATATTCTGGAGATCACTACACATTTGTATATAGACCATTTCCTTTTTAATCTTTCTTTTTTTTTTTTAGCAGCTTTATTGAAGTATAACTAATATACCCCAAATGGCACCTACTTAATATATACAATTTGATGAATTTGGACATATGCATACATAGGCACCACAATTAAAGTAGTAAGCAATTCCACCACCTCTAAAAATATGTGGCTCCCCCTCCATTTCTTTGTGGTGAGAACAATGAGCACAATCTCAATCTTAACTCTTCATACTTTCCACAACTGTGTTAGCACTCCACTGAATTATTATGCCATAATGTAGCCAACCTCTATTAAGGAATTTTTGGGTAATTTCTAGTATTTTATTATATACAGTGCTGCAGTGAATAATCATGCACATCCCTTTCCTGTTTTGACCACTTTAAAGCATAGTCTAAAAGTGAATGCAGGTGCAGTGAGAATGCATCTGTGTAATTCTTTTTATTTTTTTTTTGTGTTCCAGATTATATTTCAAACAGACTGTTTTTAACTTTCTTTTCTTAATATTAATTTTTTAATTTTTTTTATCATTGTTCATTTTTAAACAATATTTGCTTCCCCACCCCCTCAGGTATAGTCCCCATAGTTTCCTTCACCAATGCACCCCTGCACCATCACCTCAGTCCCCTGTGCCCCTCCCTCCATCCCTCTGGTCCCTCTCCCTCCTCCTCCCCTGCAGGATGTCTCTGATTTATAATTGTCCATTTTTGCTTTGTTGTGTTTTGCACTGTTACTATTTGTTTACACTGATGTCTTATTTGGTTACCCTATATTCCTGTTATAAGTGAAACCATCCGATATTTTTCTTTTTCTTTCTGGCTTATTTCGCTGAGCATGATCCCTTCCAGCTCCACCCACGTTGCTGCGAATGGCCTGAGTTTATCTTTTTTGATTGCTGAGTAATATTCCATTGTGTGTATATAGACCACATCTTCTAGATCCAGTCATCTATTTTTGGGCATTTGGGTTGTTTCCAGGTTTTACCTATTGTAAATAGTGCTGCAGTAAACACAGGGGTGCAGGTGTCCTTTTGAATCAATGTTTTTGGCATCTGTGTAATTCTAGACAGCCACTCTTTTTACTTGCCCCGTACAGATAAACAGACTGAGGCAGCTGCTCAAGGTCGCTTTGCCAGTCACTGACAAAGCTGATATTTAAACTTGGAAGTAACGGTGTCTGCAGACCACAGGTCACGGGGAGAGTAAGTCCCAGGAGAGAGAAACAAGTGACAGATTTTGCACATAGACTTAAAATGTCTTGAATCACTTAGTCTCATCCTTCCAGCTCCCAGCACTCCAGTTCTTCTTCCCTAACAGAACCTCTAGTCCGCCCCCCTCTTTTACTTTCTTCTTATCCATCCCGTCCCATTTCTGCCCCCGGAAGGCGCTTTCCCCGCCCTCTAGCTTGAAATCTGGGCGGGTCGAGACCGGGTTCAGGGGCCCGCAGGCCTCTGCGCATGCCCGGCCGCCGCCAGGCGCTGGGAACCGCTTTGGAGGCGGGCCCTGCATGACGTCATAGCCGCGCGCCTCTCCCAGACGTCCTTGCAAGGTCGCTTCGTAGAACGAGGGCGCGCGCGAGTGACAAGTCCCTTGTCCGGGGGCGCGCCGTGTCCTTCTGCCTCGGTACTAGCGGCGGCATGTCGGGGTACACGCCCGACGAGAAACTGCGCCTGAAGCAGCTGCGAGAGCTGAGGAGGAGATGGCTGAAGGACCAGGAGCTGAGCTCGCGGGAGCCGGTGCTGCCCCCGAAGAGGATGTGGCCTATGGAAGCGTTCTGGAATAGTTTTTTGAAGGACCAGGCCCCCTGGAAGAATGTGGTGAGTGACGGCCTCCTTTGCACGCGCACACACACACGCACACACACACGCGCACACACACACATGCACACACCCCGCTAGCCCCAGTCGGGTTGCCGGAAGCCTGCACATTGCAGCCACACTAGGGACTGGCATTGCTCTGCGCCCACAAGTTTCCATGATTCCCCGAGGGGGAATCAGACTTCGGTTTAACGGGGATATATAAAACCTCTCCCGAGACTCGTGCACTGGAAGTCCAGGAACGTGTAGGTGTTTGGAAGAGTCATTCCCTTTTGCTGTCAAGTGTGATGACAGGAGACGAATCTCTGCCTCGGTTTTACAGGGCGCTGTACAGTTGATTCTCTTGATGAAGTCTTCCCCCAGAATGACAGCAGGGAGCTAATAGAGTTAACAGTCTATGATTTTAGTATTTGAGAACAGTTGCGTGTTAGTTGGTTATGAATACCAAGTAACATTAAATCTGACTTCCAGAAGGCACTAGTTTACCATCAAAGACAGGGCCCTATTAGTATGCTAATGAGACATTCAAGAGCCTCTTTCTAAGATACAACTATGTAACTTTAACACGGTTGGTTATTTCATTTAAAAATACCATTCCTCAGGCCTCCCTGGTGGCGCAAGGGATTAAGCAGCGCACTATGAAGCAAGCCACAGCCTCTGCAGCATGAATTCAATCCCAGCAGCCCAGGGAGCTACCCACATGGCTCAGCAGACCTCTCCTGTCTAGCCTGCTGCTCCCCTCAGCAGTGTATTTCGGTCAATCTGCCTGTTTTGTTCCCCACGCTGTCTCTGGTGAATCCTCTCACCTCCCACAACTCTGGCCTGTACCCCAGCTCTTTTATGCGTAAATAAATAAATCTTTTTTTTTTTAGAGGCATGTTTTTTATTTATTTATTTATTTATTTATTTGTTTTTTGTTTATGCATGCACTGGGTACAGTCAGAAGCGCGGGAGGGTGAGAGAATTCACCAGAGCGGGGAGCAGAGCAGGCAGAAGGACCGAAGTACACTGCTGAGGGGAGCAGCGGGCGGCAGGAGAGGTCTGTGCGCCATGAGGGATCCTCCTCTGGTGGCCGGGGAGCAGCCGGGGATCGAACCGGCGCTGCAGAGGCCGCGCGCAGCTTCGCAACCCAGCGCTCAACCGCTGCGCCACCAGGGAGGCCCTAAATAAATAAATCTTTAAAAAATAAAAATACCATTCCTGAACTTTGCTCTGCACAAAATCACTCATTCAAGAGTTGTCTTTTATTTTCAGGGTCTTTGGACATTTTCTTGACTGTGAATTAAATCACATCAATTATGAGTGATGAACACATCTCAGAATTGCTTTCAAGTATCTGCAACCTTTGCTAATAATAATGTTAATAATACTATGGTAATAATACTAATATGTAACACTTGGGTGCTTACTTGTGCATGGCACTTTGCTGAGAGTTTTGCATGTGTTACTTCATTTAATGTTTACTCCTATAAGGTAGAAACTATTCCTAATCTTCACTTGAAACGATTGGAAACTTAGGCCTGCAAAAATTCAGTGACTTAACCTGTGGGCGGAGAGCTAAGAATTGAAGGAGTTCAGATTGATGTCTGTGTCTTTTTAAAACCGTGTCAAAGTTTGGTGCAGTGGAATCAGTGCAAATTTTTCTGTGAAGATGGTATTAAATATTTGTGGTGGCATAATTAAATTCTAACTCAATCTTGTATCTCTGACATTACTTGTTGATTTTGGCAGCCACTGGTTGAAAATTGACTTACTACCCATAGCCAGTAATCTAAGGAAGTAAATAATCATTTGTTGAAATTCATCTTACCTTACTTTGAGTTAATTTTTTCTTCCATAATTATGACTATTATAATATTTATAATCTCGATGATTTTCCTTTCCCTGCAAGGACAAGTGTGTTTCATTCAGGTTGGCTGCCAGGGAAAAGTTCCATTTTTATTTCTCTTTTGCCTTTCTCTTTAAAAAAGAGTGTCTGGGGCCTTCCGTGTGGTGCAGGCAGTTGAGCTCAGCGCTGTGAAGCTGTTGGCAGCCTCTGCAGCGCTGATTCCATTGTGGGCTGGCCAGGGAGATTCCCACATGGCACAGCAGACCTCTCCTGTCCTGCCTGCTGCTCCCCTCAGCAGTGTATTTCGGTCCTTCTGCCTGTTCTGTTCCCTCCTCTGTCTCTGGTGAATTTGCTCACCCTCCTGCACCTCTGGCCTGTACCCCAGTGCTTATATAAATCAATCAATCAATCAATCAATAAATAAATAGAAAAGAGTGTCTGAAGGCATCTCAGAGTGAACTTTGAGCAACTTTATCCCAGCATATAAAACATTCTTTTTTCCTAGCATTGATATGCTTGAAGTTGTCTGCCTTCCAATCAAATGGTATTGTTTGTGGATATTAGAAATTGATGAATTAGGGAGGTGACTGAAAATTTGATTACTCTGGTTAAACCAATGAAAATTTTTCTTTCATTTTTTATACCATGTTTTATCTTTAACACATTTATAGTAAAGATGCATTTAGAAGTTTTAAAAAAACATATCTATAAATGTCTTATTATGGTCTTGCAAAATGCTACTGAAGACGTGTTTGCTCAGCTTTCTGTAGGTGTCCCCTATCAGGGCCCTATCTTTAGTAAAAATATTTGAGTGGGTAAGGTTGGCCACAGACTATAATAAGTATGTAGCACTTTGAAATCTTAAAATAATCACAACATTGTTGTCATTGATGCTTTTTTTTCTACCACATGAAAAATGGGTTATCTATTTATTTTGTGTATGTTTTCCCCCCTCCAGATCTATAAGACTTACCGACACAGTATCTTTGCTTTTACTCATGTACTTATACCTGCCTGGATTATTCATTATTATCTCAAATATCATGTGAATGTAAGTATGCTTAAAGTTTTTGAATCTATTTTTATTATTGTACAAACTTATTTCCTATGTGGGTATGCCCCTTACCCTGCCACTTTTAATTTTTTTTTGACTATCAATTCTTTGAAACCTTTTAGGTAAAAGTTTTAATGAAAGTTAGTAATTAAGTATGATTTTTCAAAAAGCTAATCTTTTTAGGAATTGCTTACAACTTGAAGTGCATTTCCTGGTAGAAAGTGTTTAAATGATCAGAATGTACTTAATCTAGTAATGCTAGTGTAAACTTAGTGTCCTGAGTAGGAAGGGAGAAAATAATTTGTTTCCTTTAGTAAGCACAGATCTTATATAAGATAAAATTTGTAATAGGCAAAGAGTATCTTCTATTTTTTACAACTTTCTTTAGGAGCTGGAATGTCCAAAAACTTGAACTTTTTCACTGAAGGATTTTGCATGGGTGATTGAACTGAGCCAGTTGCTATATTTTAAAGACTGTGGATAATCTGGTGTAGGATGTTGGATCCTTGCTAGGATGAGGAGGGTTTGCATTTCAGGAAGTGGCACGGAAGGGTTGCAGTGGTGACTGCCAAGCATGGAGTATAGTAACTCAAACAGAGTGAGCAGTGTTGGGTCCTAAGTGGGTTGATTTGGGGGGCAGAGGAGAGGTGTTGGTGAGTTAATCTATTTGTTGAGCAGCAGTGGCAATAACTTGGTGTAGGATATTGTAACCAGAGTGAGGGGAGCAGGACAAGGGAAAAAGGGTGGTTTGGAACAAGAAATAGGGGTAGCAGAATAAAATGTCAGAACCCAAATGAGGTTAAGAAGGGTATTAGTCCTGGAGTGTGGTTGGTGAGAAGAGATTGGTTATATACAGGAAGATTGACTTTTAAAAAGTGCATGTATTAATGATAATGGGACCCATGTTACTAAAGGGAGTTATACATATGGAAAGAGAGAAAACTGTATGGTACTGCTATGGAATTAGTAGTAATGATGTGAACTCATTGTTTTATATGTATATTGGTAGCTACGGAAATGAATATAGATGTAAATGTGGACATTCTAGCTCTGTTCACTAACAGGGCCTATATCAGGTTACTTCTGGTAATGAGAGTTACCTAGCAGCCAGGTCTAACATATTTCTACACTGAATGAATTATGAGCTTTTTGGAGAATGGTTGATTCCAGGATTGGGGCAGGGAAAGTGTAAGATGAGCTTGGAACATGTTGTTGTGCCAGAGAATAAAGAAGTGTTCCAAGAATGATAGAGATATATGAAATGACATAGAGTCCATTTGAAGGGAAACCCACTGAGACAACTTCACCATCAAAATAAATGATAGTAATTGAATGAGTGAATGAATGAATGAGTCAAATAAATAAAATGCAAATCCATGAGTCCATACTGATAAAAATAAATCAATTAATAAATGGATAGAAAAGCTTTTTTATACAGTGGATTGCTAAATGATAAACGGACAAGGAAGGAATGACAAAAAAGTTACTGTATGGGTATAAAGTTACTATAACTATGATTTGGGTAAGAGAAGGAGAAGTTATTCCATTAAGAAAGAAAGAGAAATAATCACCAACAAGCATGGCCGTATGTATGCACAACTGAAATGCCTTATTGGCTTTGGCAGGTGGGGACCAAATAACTGGAAGGTCTTGAAAGCTAGCCAGAGATTGAAATTTATTTGATAGGCAGTGGAACACTTTACATTCTTAAATAGGAGAATGACTTGATAAAAGTGATACATTTAGTAAAACATAGAAACCACTGATGTGTAGGGTGAAGTGGCGGGTTTTAGAGATCACAGCAAGGACTCTTCTCCAGAATTAGGAAATTTTGAGCAGAGGAGGGATACATCTTAAAAGAATCATTCTAATTTCTGCAGTATGGAGAATAGACTGTGGGAGGGCACAAAGGGAATTTGGGAGACTAATAGGTGAAAAAAATGATCAGAGGCTTGGACAAGGGTAGTTGTACTAGAGCTAGTGAGAAGAGTTAATTCAGGATATATAGCTCCAGGTAGAACCAGGAGGATCAGCTGAGGAGTCAAGGTTTTTGGCCTTTGTAAGTAGGGAAAAATCTCATTTGAGATTTGGTAGCCAAGTATAGATCTTGAGCAAATAATTAAATAAGAGTCTGGAGTTTGCTGAAAATATGGGGCTTATGTTAAAATTTGGGATATCATTATTTATTTTCAGGAGGAGCTCTACAACCACAATTAACAGCATTACTTTTATTGCAGACAAAACCATATGCCATTGTTGAAAGGAAGCCCAGAATATTCCCAGTAAGTTTTAAAACTTCTGATTTTCCTTTTGGTCATTATTTTTCTTTCCTTCCCTTCTCCAAGTTTTCATTCAACTAAAATGTCACTTTCTTCTTGTCTTCCAGTGTCTGTCTTGTAACCTCTTATAAAAATACAACAGGAATAGTGTGAGTTAGCAATTGAAAAATGGGAGGGTACGTTTCAATCTAGTTGTAAAACTTGTTCTATGACTTTTGTAGTCCGAAAGTGAATTGAAGATACAGACAGTTGTTCAGTGCTTCCCTGGTTCGTGTAAAGTTAAGGACATAGGACAGTAGCTAGAACAGAGACCTAAGCTTAAAAACAGCAGCTGAATTCCTGTTATTTCAAACGATCATTTCCTATGGCTTTTTGCTTAATTTTCAAATGAGGCAAACCGTAACTCCCTGTATTTGTGGATTTAAATTCTATTAATGTGTGCTTTAGATTTTATATTACAAATATGTAGGCCAGTTTCCTAATTTATAGTGAGTCTTTTCAGCATTAAGAGATTATTCACTAAGATAATTGTTGAGTATAATAAAATGAATGTCAGTTCTTGTCCTGTATCTAGTTACAGTTCTATTATCAATCTCTAGGTTTTATAATCTTACAAAACAGTGTTAGTTCTTGCTTCAAGATGATATAATCCCAATAACCCATTGTCTTCTGCAACAGAAGGGCATTTTAGGGAGAACCATCAAAACTGGGTTACCCTTCCAGCTGGAAGTCTGTTTTAGGAAATAGTAGGGGATTTCTTCTATATTTCACTGTATATATAGATATATATGTGTGGGTTAGAGCCTAGGTAGTCTAAAAATAGGAAATTAACTTTGCTGGTTTCCCCAGTTGGGTAATTTATTTATTTTCCCGTCATATGTTTATTATTTTTTAATTCTGCCGTTACTGTTCAAAGGAGAGCTCTCTTCAGAAGACTATAGTGATTCTATAGCATTTGTCCTACTTGTGTATTATTATTTTTTTTTTTTTTTTGCCATTGTTCTTTCCTGTTTTTTGTGTCATTGATTCCTTTGAGAAGCTTCCAATCACTGGTTTTAGTGATGCTGAAATCCACTGGTCAAACTTTATAAAGACTCCTAAATCTTGTGTATGGGAAGTTACTTGAATGGGTACTGATTTTTTTTTCTGGAAGGTAACATTTTATTCATTGTTCTTGGCCAGGGGTCCGTCCTTTTTTGTTGTCAACCTAGATCACATCTGAAATGAGTCTTGGAAATAGGTCCTCTTTAGGGTTGTAGGCCTTCAAAATCTGCCTCTTATTCACAGAAGGTTGAATGATAGAGGTTGTTTTGAGTTCAAACAATCAGATTTTTGTTGTCTATGTTTGATTTCTTTGACCATCTAGTTCACACACTTGGTAGGCATGAAAACAATATCCAGTAGAAGTCTAATTTGCTTCCAGTCAGTCCTACAAGCCACTATCTGTGCCTTTTATTTAGTTACCAAGTTCTCTCAATTCTTTTGTCCACATGCAAATGTCTCTTTCAAATCAGAGGCAGCTCTGTGAAGCCATCTGAAACAGACTAGTTCACAGGCTTCCTTCACTTCAATCTGATCTTTTCCATAGGTCTGAGTTCCTTTGTTTACTGAGTTTTATTGGGATTCTGTTTCTGAGAGCATCCTCAATGTTAACTCTTGTTTAGAGATTCAAAAGCAATCTTATTTTCAATACTGTAAGGTCCTGAGTTTTTGGATTTTCTCCATTTTTCTCTTTTCATATCAGCCACTTATTGCCTGAGTTCATGTTTCTTTAAGTACATTCCCTCCAAGTCAGTAATAGTCTAACACATAGTATAAGTTTTTTCCAGTTACTTCTCCTAGAACTTTAATTTGACAGTCTGCTTCCCAGTTATTACTGGCATTTGTTTCATCTTTTAGCTTCCAAGCTAAAAGTGTCCCTGCTGCTAAGTGCCATGTGGTTCATCTATTATAGTAAAATATCAGGACCACTTAAGGTTACCATTTTCTGCACTAAGGTAATGTTAATTGTGGTAACAAATTGTCCCCAAAATATAAAATGGGATAAACATATTAAAAAGTTTATTTTTTCATTAGCTAACAGTTCTGAACAGTACCAGGTCAGGGAATAGCAGGGGTAGTGATAGAGATTCTGCTCTACCCGGTCAGGCTGACAGAATCCGCTTCTTGAACACAAGGCTGAAACTAAAGGAATTTGCCTAAAATTATAGTTTCTTGAGTTGAGATTTCAAGATTCTCACCACTGGGTTTTGGCCGTTCCTACTCCACACACTACCTAGGTTTGAGAAGACACCTGAATCAACTGCCCAGCCACAGTTTGCTTTCTGCCTCTAGTATCTGTGCCAAACAGGAGAGAGAACCTCAGACATTCAGTTGCTAGGAATACATTACCACCTTATATGGAACTGAAGATGTCTCCTTGCAGCTTTTTCCTAGGGCTGCTTCTATTTATTGGGACAATGTAAAATTTTTAGAAATTATCTGTTAATCATTTTTGTAAAGACAAAACTTTCGTGTTCTTTCTGGTCATTTGCTTCTACTTTGCCTAAGGTCCTTTTAAAGGGTAAACGCCAGAGCTGAAATAGATTTTTCCATGTGAGAGCTAACCAAGTGTAACTACCACTTCTACAGGAAAGATTTTTCTATTAACACCTTATTTTCGTTTCCCTAGGGTGATACAATTCTGGAGACTGGAGAAGTAATTCCACCAATGAAAAAATTTCCTGACCAACATCATTGAAGAGTGCTGAATAATTTCAAAGGCTTAACAAGCCCAAGTTTGTTGCTGTATCGTATCTACTAAATACATATCTGGAAATGTAACTTAATAAAGTTTACTCTTATATGTATGCTGTCTGTTTATTCACAAACATTGTACAATTTGAGATTCTGAATTATTTAACTATTAAGTAAAACCTGGACATGTTAAAAAAAAAGGTATCAGCTACTTTTCTGGTCACTCTTGACTAGTTAAACAAGATGTAGAAGAGCAGTCATGATGGATTTCTTTCTTATACAGTACTTAACTCTGGTCTGATGTGAAGGTACCCAGGGAATGAAATGTAGCAGTATACAAATAGAACAGAAATTCCACACACCTGTTTTAAAGAAAGCTGTGGAATTTTTAAAAAGCATTTTAGAAACTCTAGGATCGAAAAGCATGTTATTCTATCCATGACTTGATACTCAAAGGTCGTGGAACTAGGTTGCTGGCTTCTGTTTTGAGAATGCAAAAGACAACTTCACGTGTTTGAAAAAACGAGTGCATTCGTGGCTATTACAAAAGATTGTATGCAAAAATAAATTTGGAAACGCTGTATTATGCATTTTACTTTTAAATGTAATAGATGTCAGGTAAGCATGAGATAATGAACTGTATTTACAAAGAATTACAAGTTTTCACTCATTTCGAAGATTTTGTCTGGGTATTCCTTCCTTAGCTGTCGGCGTGCGGCTACAGTTGAAGCATAGATGACGTATCCCCAGGAGAGTAATACGATCGCAAAGAGCAACTAAAAGAGATGTACGAGGAAGTAAAAGGAAAATATTGATGTGAGTTGTGCTTCCTCCAGCCCCCTCCTCCCTCCGTTCCCTTCCTTTCCCTTCCCTTCCCTACCCTTCCCTCCCCCACCTCCATCAGGATGCCGAGTACTAGCTAAGGTGGGAATTAAGATGCTGGAGGAGGAGTACACCCAGCCGCCCTTACGTAAGAAGCGGAAGAGCGTGTCCTCCAGGAAGAGGCGGAGTCGAGGTTAGGGAGTGCAAAGCTTAATTCAGGAATGGATTTTGGAGTTTCTGGGCGCTGAAGAAATAGGGAACCTTCCGCCTTCGGGCCTGGGGAGTCGACACCGTGGAGCCCCACCAGCCCCGCGACCTACCACCGAATAAATCCAGTCCAGGGTGCGGCGACTCACTGGCTTCATGGTAAGGAGGAAGCGGCCGCGCGCGGGATCGGGCAGAAGCTGCAGGCCTTATAGCAACCCCCGGGGCGGTGGCGGCCGAGCGGCGGCGGCCATCTTTCATCCGGGCACGAAGCCCCGCCCACTCGCCTCCGGGAGCGCTTCTCTGCGGCGGGGCCGACCTCTTCCGCCCGCAGCTGAGGGGCGGGCCCACTTGACGCGGACCTGGCGCGCCTGTCGGGGGCGAGGGCAAGAGAGGAAGCAGAAGTTCGCTTAAAAACTGCTTTTTAGCCTCCTAGCCGGAGACGCGCGGTTTGTCAAGCGGCCTTTTTTTTTTTTCCATTTGCACTGCAGTCTTAGTTCTGGATCATCTACTTCCGTGTGCATTTAAAACTTTATTAGAAAAAAACCCCCACGTTTTAAGCATTACACGTTTGCCCCCCGCATGTTCCCACATAATAACGACATTAGCGAGGTCAACTTGGACGTCAGCGGGAACAACACCTGCTTTTATACACCAGCGGCGGTTCGATGCGGGGATCCCTGCTAATCGAACAGTTCGGGAGACAAGTGTGGGCGCAGCGGCTTGTGGATGGAGGCGCTGCTTCTGGGGAGCAACCCGTGGCACGGAGCACCCGACAGTGCACCTGCCTGTCGCGCCCGCAGGGGTTCCGAGCGTTCGCGCGCTCAGAATGGTGCCCGGAGCAAACCCCGAGCCCCGGGACGGCGGTTTGGCGCGCGGGCGGTTGTGCCGAGCCGGGCTCTAGAATGTTTGGGGCCTCGCTTGAGACCCGAGCGGCAGAGCGGGGCCGTGGGCCGCTGCCGGCGCGGGCGTTTGTTCGTTCCCCGTCGCAGACCCCCTCTCGGGCGGGTTTGGCTTGCGATTTCGTGAGGCGGTGAAGGCCCTTGAGAGAAAAACATCCGTTTGGGTAAGAGTTCCGGCCCTGCCCCCTTGGGGAACCCCAGTTCCCCCCCAGACTGGAGGAGACGGCTCTCAAGCCTGTCGGGCACATTTTGGACCGGCTTTGGATTCTATTCGAATCCTAGTGTCACTTCGCAGCCGAGCAGCGGACGGTGAAGTCACTTCACCTCCGTGTAGACCGCGAGCTCCTCTGAGCTCCCCCTTCGCCCTGAGTTTGGGGAGGTTTAAATGAGGCCGGGCCCAGCGAGCTCCCGCGTCTTCCAGGTAAGGAGCGAGCAGCATCCCGAGCCAGCGTCCCTGTAAGCTCCGGCGACGGGTAACAGGCGTGGCGGCGAGCTTGGGGGTCCCCGAGGGGAGGGCCCGGGCGCCCGCCCTCGGGCCTGAGGGAGCTGGGGTGGGGGGCAGGGGAGGGGCGGGCTCCCGCCGGAGCGCGCTAAGCCCCGCCCCCGGCGCCTTCTGCGGCGCATGCGTGGCGCCGGCGCGGGCTGTGTTTTGACGCGCCGGGGGCTGCGGAGCGGGGTTCTCTTTCCGTCCCCGCCCCCAAGCCGCCATTGGTGATGAGCGCTTTACGTCACAGGGGTCGCAGGCGCCGCCGCGGTCTCCGCTGTCTCGCGAGGAGGGCGAAGCGCCCCCGCCCGCTCCCGCTGCTGAGGGCCGGCGGAGGAGCCGCCGGGTATGCCTTCGTGGATCCTGTCGTCACCGCCCTAGCCTGCTCGGCCGGCGGGAGCTTACCGCGAGCGCCCCGGCCGGGCCTGCGCCCGCATCCTCCGAGGTGAGTGAAATCGGGAACAATGGGGTGCGGGGGGTCGGAAGGGCCGGGCGAGCCGGGGCTCCCCCCCCCCACCGGGCCGAGGCCCAGGGGCGCGGGGGCTGCGCGCAGGGCCTCAGGGGGCGCGCGGGCCTCCCCGGGCGGGGGGCGGGCGGCGCACCTGTGGATTTGGGGGGGCGGGGGAGGCTGCGTTTCCCAGGGGCGCTCCCGAGGGCCGCGAGCCCGGCGGGGTGCTGGGAGGAGAGTGTGGGCTCCGGGGGGCGGGGGGACAGCGCCAAACACGCAACGTTGGAGTCGGCCTCGGGGCATCGTCGCCCCAGGGGTGTGACCTTGGCGGGGTCCTCTGACCTCTCGGGGCCTGTCTGTGAAATGGGAATAACCGTGTTTCAGTCCGCTGTGGTTATGTAATGCACGTGGTTTTGTCTTTTTATTTTTTACGCCCCCTCTCCCCCATTCCTGGCCTGTGGCAGGTCTTAACTCCAGGGAGCCACTAGCCCCGTGGCTCTTGGAGTTGTCGGTGATGTTTGAAATATTTTGGCTGGCCCGCCTGTGACTTTTTAGTCCATGAGGCTGCAGCTTTCCTCTGGGGCTGCTGGCTCGGCCCGTGGCAGGAGGCATTGCGAGCTTGGGCGGGTCGTGATGGAAGAGGGAAAAGGAAAAGGATTTTTCGCGGGTAGTTTTCAGGGTTATTTAAGAGAACAAGAGAGAGGAACCTAAGGCTTAAGTTAACAGTGATGAACGTTGGGGTTTTTTTTTTTTTGGTTCTTGTTTTTTTTTTTGGTTTTAGACCCTGAAATGCAAAGCTGTAGTACTAAGCCCAACTCGTGGTGCTTATCTGGAATGAGTGACTTTGGAAGGGAATGGTTCCCCCACGCAGTTCTTTTTATTGCTGGAACTGGAATTATTATAAGTTTTATCGGATCTGGTCAATAGGTTTTGTAACTTCCGTATGATCTGCTGGAGCTGATGATTACATTGCAGATCAGAGAGGTACAGTGATTTCTTAATGGTCACGAGAGGGAAAACCCAGATTATTTTTAGTGCTTGGGGGTGTCATTCTAGTTGAACCACTTGTCAGCGTTTTAAGCCACTTAGCATTGATATGTTAAGTGTGAAGATTTATTTAACTGTTACAGATGACCATTTTTTGGGCCTTTAAATCAGTATGGCAGATGGAAATGACCAGAAGTAACTATGTGCACATACCTTGGGAAATAGTATTGTGTGTTTATTGTACACCAGGCACTATGCTGATTGTTTGCATGAATTATATCCCTTCGCACAACCACCTCTTTAGAATGCATGCTGTGAACTCATTTTAGAATTGAGAAAACAAGGTTTTAAGAAATGAAATAACTTCTTCCATATCACACCTCTAATGAATGAATGATTTTGATTCTCAACTCTGGCTTTGAGAATTAACATCAGTCCCCCAAATATAGTCAACAGGTGATTAAATTTTAAAGAAAGAATACCATAGATGACTTTTATAGTAAATCTGACTTTTTAAAACATTTAGTTTTGCTTAGCATTCTTACTTTATGTCACTGTGCAGTTTAAATGTCCAGTCTGTGATCTAATTTAGAGTGCAACCTTCTGATTCTTCATTCCCTTTCCTTTCCTAGCCATTTTCTTTAGAAACATGTTTGTTGATTATCTAAAATTCCCCCCAAATGTCACAATAAAAGTTCTTATCCCAGCTGATTTGAAAATTCGGGGAAGGGAAGATTTGTATAAAACCACTTTATCCTAAAGCTGGTAAACTTCATTGAGAATGGGGGGAGGAGGCAGTTTCCCTATGGGGAAATTAATTTCTAGTCTTTATTCCTACCATGCTGGGATAGAGAAATGTTTATCACAGGCTTCTTCTAGAACCTGAAGCACTAATCTAACATCAGGTCCATCTTTGCTAAACGCCAGAATCTCTCCTAGAAATCTACCTTCTTAATCATCTCCCTAGCTACTGTGTTTCATGCCTTGATTTGTATATTTTAGACAGCTTTGTTGAGATATAATTTATATTCCACCCATATAGTTCGCCTTTTTTAAAGTATATAAGTAATCCAGTGATTTTATTGTTTACAGAATTGTAAATATACTAAGTATATATTTACATTATATATGCAGCGTCTGTGTGTGTGTATATATATATATCATAATAGAATTGGACATCTTTATCCAAGAAACGCCCACCTAGCAGCCAATATTTCATATCAGTGGCTTCCTACATCATGTGGTCTTTTTGTGACTTCATTTAGCATAATAAAAAGGTTCATGTTGTAGCCTGTGTCAGTGGTTGATTTCTTTTTATTGCCAAATAATACCCATTGTAAGGCTATATTACATTTTACTTTTACAGTTATCTGTTGATGGACACATGTTGTTAGCACATTTGAACTATTATGACATGTGCTGCTGTCAGTATTCACACACAAGTTTTTTTGTGGACATATGTTTGCATTGCTCTTGGACAGGTGTGGAATTGCTGGGCCATATGGTAGTTTTACTTAATGTGTATTGTAACACATATTTAAATACAGTATTTAGTGATGATTTTGAAGGGGTAAATTCCTTATATGATAACTGATATCATTGCCATTGTTGAATTTCACCAAAGTCTAGTTATCCCTTGGTTATATAGACGGTAAAGTAAAATTCTGAGCTAATGTGAATTTCTCCACTTTACAGTTAGTTTTAGTTGAAATCTGGTCTTCCATCCAGGTTTTCTGGTAACCTCTTTGGTTACCTTGCAGCTCTTTACTCCTTTCCCAGAGGCGTGGACTGTCTTTGATCCTAAAGGTTTTTATCTAAGGGTTTTTTTTTTTTTTTCCCTTCCTTCATTGGGCAAATAAAAATATTAGAAGTAGTGGGAAATGCTGAGAAATACATGCAGTATTAACAGGTTTCAGAGTTCAAACCTCATTAACAAAAAAGCAGCATTGTGTTTTATAATTCAGTTCTTTCTAAGGACAATGTTGATTTTGGCATTCCCATTCTAGGAAATAGACTGGAATAGAAATGCTTGGGCCTGAAGAATATTTGTTCAGCATTAATTCATTCCCTATTAAGTTATGACTGAGAAAACTAAGATGCCCTAGATGAGCAAGTTTAATTTTAAAGCAATGATAAAATACTCCAGTTTCACTATCATAGGATTTTACTGTGTGTATGTTTCTTTTTGTTACAAGTTTGATACAGCCAATAAGTTACTTAGAAAATTACTAATGTACTATTGACTGACTTGATAGAGGAGGTAAAGATGAGTAGGCCCAGGAAAACATAAAGCAAGAAATTAATATATAATGTATATAAAATAATTAGTAAAGAATGCAACTGAAGAGGGATATTATAAAATAATGATGTCGATATGTAATCATAATAGACTTTCACTCTGAAGTGATAAATTTAAAGAAAGCAAAACTAAGATTCTAGTAAGCCTTGTAGGAAAAGAGAGTAAGAGAAGAAGAGGAAAAGCATGGTTTTAAGAGACCTTGTGACTGACATTGTACTAAACTTTGGGTAAGAAAACTAAGAAAGACTTTATTTATTTATTTAAGATTTTATTTATTTAGGCATACAAGAGCTGGGGCACAGGTGAGAGGTGCCGGGGGGTGAGAGGATTCACCAGAGACAGAATGGGGAACAGAACAGGTGGATTTAGTGAAATACACTGCTGAGGGGAGCAGCAGGCGAGGCAGGAGAGGTGCGCTGCGCCATGTGGGTTGCTCGCTGGCTGGCTGGGAATCGAACTTGTGCAGCAGAGGCTGTGGACAGCTTCATAGTGCAGTGCTTAACCCCTTGCCCCACCAGGGAGTCCCAAGGAAGACTTCTTAGGGGTGCTGAAAGGAATCGGTGATGAACATAATCATGCAGTAACAACAATGTAATAATGATGCAGTGTAGTAATGCTAATAATAGCAACTAACATTTACTCAGCAGTTGTTCTGAGCAAGGCACTGCCCTTGGGTGCTTTTACACTTAGTATTTCATTTACTCTTCACTAAAAGATCTTTTTTTGTGGGCATGAAAGAATCTTCCTCTAAAAAAAGCACAGGATTGTTTTAAACAGATGAACTTTCTGGTATGTAAATTATCTCACTCACACTATTTTTAAAGGTACGTGAGCGATACTACAAATAAAACAAATCTGGTCTGTATGAAAGATATAAAACCATTCATAGAAAAACACACCAACTGATGTGATGTCATTGTTTTATAGAGAGGGCTAGGGGAAAATGACAAAAGGGACATTTAGAAAAAAGTGGAGTAACAATCAGAATGTTGAATTTAAGTGGTGGGTACATGGGTGCTTGGTATATTTTCTTTTGTACGTTAGTAAATATTTCTCAGTTGTTATTTAGAAGACTAATGGAATGTTCTATAATTATGAGAGCTTACTATGGACTGGACACTTTCTAAGAACTTTACATCTTGACAAACTCTGAGAGGCATAGACTGTTATCAGTAATCAGCAGATGAAATTGAAGCACAGAGATAGTATCTGGTCCACAATTGTGTTGCTAGACTGGAACAGGGATTCAAATCCAAGAAATCTAACTTTAGAACTTGTACTTTGTACTATATTGTCATGCCACTCGGCCTCTTTATATTATAAAGACACCCAGCTACTCAACTGTCTTTACCAAAATATGATCCTTTTTTGTTCAGATTATTTAATCATCACTCTGTTACCAGGTTACTGATGTATTTTTTTCCCTTTTACAGATAATGGCATCTGCCGCTAAGGAATTTAAAATGGACAACTTTTCACCTAAAGCTGGCACTAGCAAATTGCAACAGACAGTACCAGCTGATGCATCTCCTGATTCTAAGTGTCCTATATGCTTGGATAGATTTGATAATGTGTCTTACTTAGATCGCTGCTTACATAAGTTCTGTTTTCGCTGTGTGCAGGAATGGTCAAAAAACAAAGCTGAATGCCCATTATGTAAACAGCCCTTTGATTCTATTTTTCATTCTGTGAGAGCAGAAGATGATTTCAAGGAATATGTCTTGAGGCCTTCCTTTGTCACCCCTAATCTTCGAAGTTTCCACTATCGTACAACTATGACACGGGAACGAAGTGCTTCTAGTAGTACCGCGAACAGAGCAACAGCAACTCCACCAGATAGTAGAGTACTCTTTGAAGGATTAGGCATTTCAACAAGACCTAGAGATGGTGAAGTTTCTCAATTTATGAGACAGATTGCAATAAGGAGGCCAACTACTGCAGATGAAAGATCTTTGCGGAAAATTCAGGAACAGGATATTATAAATTTTAGACGAACTCTCTATCGCGCTGGTGCTCGTGTTAGAAATATCGAAGATGGTGGCCGCTACAGGGACATTTCAGCTGAATTTTTCCGTAGGAATCCGGCTTGTCTTCATAGATTAGTCCCTTGGTTAAAACGAGAACTTACAGTTCTTTTTGGAGCTCATGGGTCTTTAGTGAATGTTGTTCAGCATATCATCATGAGTAATGTCACTCGCTATGACTTGGAGAGCCAGGCATTTGTGTCTGATTTGAGGCCATTTTTACTTAATCGAACTGAACATTTTATACATGAATTTATCAGTTTTGCTCGCTCTCCTTTTAACATGGCAGCCTTTGACCAGCATGCTAATTATGATTGCCCTGCTCCTTCATATGAAGAAGGTAGTCATTCTGATTCTTCAGTCATAACAATATCTCCTGATGAAGCTGAGACACAAGAACTGGATATTAATATAGCCACTGTCAGTCAGGCACCATGGGATGATGAAACGCCAGGACCATCTTATTCAAGCTCAGAGCAGGTACATGCTGCTATGTCTTCCCTTTTAAATACTTCTGACAGTTCTGATGAGGAACTTATAACCAGAAGAGCCACATCTCAGATCCAAGGAGTACAAACCAATGAGGACCTAAATAATGACAGTGATTCTTCCTCAGATAATTGTGTAATTGTTGGGTTTGTTAAGCCGCTAGCTGAGCGGACCCCAGAACTTGTTGAACTTTCCTCTGATTCTGAGGATTTAGGCTCTTATGAGAAAATGGAGACAATAAAGACACAAGAACAAGAGCAGTCTTACAGTTCTGGGGATAGTGATGTTAGTAGATGTTCATCTCCACGGTCCATCCTTGGAAAGGATGAGCAGGTAAAAAGTCATTGTGATTCTGGTGCAAGAATCAAATCAAAGAAGGAGGAGAAACGATCTACATCATTGTCCTCTCCCAGAGACTTGAGCTCGTCCATCAGAGGAGACAGAGTCCACTCCCCATATAACCGTAGACATAGAAGAAGGGGAAGATCAAGAAGTTCGGATTCACGTTCCCAGAGTAGAAGTGGGCATGATCAGAAGAATCGTAGAAAGCATCACGGAAAAAAAAGGATGAAAAGCAAACGATCCAGAAGCAGAGAGAGTAGCAGACCTAGAGGTAGGAGAGACAAAAAGAGATCGAGAACTAGAGATAGCAGTTGGTCAAGAAGAAGCCAAACTCTGTCTCTAAGTAGTGAAAGCACAAGCAGATCAAGGTCTCGTAGCAGTGATCATGGTAAAAGAAGATCACGGAGCAGAAATAGAGATCGTTATTACTTAAGAAATAATTATGGAAGCAGATACAAGTGGGAATATACTTACTATAGTAGAAACAAGGACAGGGATGGCTACGAGTCGTCATATAGGAGGCGGACTCTGTCCAGAGCTCATTATTCCAGACAATCGTCGAGTCCAGAATTTAGAATTCAGTCCTTTTCTGAAAGAACAAATGCTCGGAAAAAAAATAATCACAGTGAGAGGAAATATTACTACTATGAAAGGCACAGATCGAGGAGCCTGTCTAGTAATAGATCAAGGACTGCATCTACAGGACCGGACCGAGGGAGAAATGAAAAGCCTGGAGGGAAACGAAAATACAAAACACGACATTTGGAGGGTACTAATGAAGTTGCCCAACCATCTCGTGAATTTCCGTCTAAAGTAAAGGAAAATCATTACCAAAAATCTTCATCGAAATTGGATGGAAACTACAAAATTGAAAGTGACAGTTTTTCAGACAGCCGATCTTCAGATAGAGACACAAAACACAGGAGGAGAAAGAGGAGGACCCGGAGCCTGAGTGTCGAGATAGTTTATGAAGGAAAAGCTACCGATACGACGAGGCATCATAAAAAGAAAAAGAAGAAACACAAGAAGAAGCACAAGAAACACCATGGGGATAATGCTTCACGTTCTCCAGTTGTAATTACCATTGACAGCGATAGTGATAAGGATTCTGAAGTAAAGGAGGATATAGAATGTGACAACAGTCGTCCTCAGGATCCTCTCCAAGATGAGTTTTTGTCTCCTTCCTTGGAACCATTTGAAACGAAAGATATAGTCACAATAGAAGACGAATTTGGTATCATGGACAAGGAATGTGATGTTACTACAGTCAGTAACAGTTTGAATAATGCCAACAAAACTGTAGATAATATTCCGCCCCAGGTAGCTTCAGTTGAACAAACTCTCGATGTTAGAGAAGAGAGCGCCTTTGCCTCTGACTTGGAGAACCAGCCCGGCAATGTGTGTGTTCAGACTGAGCCATCCAGGCCCTTGCCTTCTCCGCGGACATCATTAATGTCAGTGTCTTTTGATAGAGATTGTGAAATGTCTTAAAGCTGCCAAAGCCTTTCATTGAGAATTCTAATAGTAAAAAAGGAACAATGTCATCTCCTGCAGTCTATTTAAAGATGACTTTTAGTAAAAACTCTTTTTCCCCCCTTAAAATATTTTAAGTGATTTTTTTTTGTGTGTGTTAAATTTTTGTAAAAATCATTATTTGTTCAAAAAGTATGTATGTTCCACCTTCAGAGGTATGCACTTTTAAGTGAAGAAAATATTGCTAGCAGTTTATTTAAAACTTGGGATCCTTTTTAAATAAAAAAAATATAAATTTTAGAAGTTATTTCATAAAGCCATATGGTATTGACATATTTTTAAAGTAGTCAATAAGTATTTTTGAGTTTTTGTTTCGGGAGTTATTCTGGAAATGTGCTATAAACTAGGAGAATCCCTTTGAGCGGTCTTTATTTTTCTTCTTAAAAATTTGTATTCAAAATCATTTCAGGTTAAATGGAGGCATTTAAGTCTGCACAGTTTATCTTGACATCTGCCAAAAGAAGAATTTAAATACTTCCTTTATATACTTGTTTCTGGACTGCCCGTAAAGCAAATGTGTATTCAATAAAGGAAAAAATAAAACAGTAATACTTTAAAACAGAATCTAGAAAATTTCCTATGCAGTATTGCTTTTTTAAGTAAAGTTATTAGTGGGGGGCTAAAATCTTGAAAATAAGAATATACTTGAGTCATAAATACACATTTCAAGTGATTGCATTTAATTTTACAGTTTTTGTGATGTTTGTCAGTCTGATTATGAGATGTATGTTAGTTATTTCTTCAGAAAAATGCAGTTACACAACATTTAGTTTACTAAAAACAAAAAGCTGTGGCCAGTCTCCTTTTTACATTCGTAGTTCTTTTACACAAAATGGTCTTGTGTGTGTTTTATTGATGATAAAATTGCACGTTCCTTTAAGCCTGATACAGGATTGCCAGTGAGCAGCAGAACTTGAATTAAATCTAAATTTAGCCTTCAATTTGCCTTGCCTACCACCTTGGTTCATTATTCAACAAAAATTGAAATGCCTTTTGTGTGGCAATGTCTTGACTAGGCTTTTAGGGATCCAGTGATAGAACATAGCGGATTTAATGCTCCCTGCCCTCATAGGGGTTTGGCTTTCCCTCCCTCCCTACTTTCTCCCCCACCTCTCTCATATACTTTTTACAAACTAAGTTCTCCGGAGAGACAGTATAATTTCCCTCTTTAAGAGTATACATTGGGGCTTAATTTGTAGGTGGAAGTGATAGTTAAAACGAAACTCAGAAGAGAGAAGAATAGTTAGCAAAGGAAAAGGCAGACGAAGAGCCAAAGGCAGAAGGAGAACCTGACATAGTCCAAGAACCAAAGGAGGGCAGGGTTAGCCAAGAGAATGGGTGCGAGACCTAGCTTTTGAAGCCATGTTTAGAGTTGTATTTATCCCAAGGGCAATAGAAAACTGAATTTTAAATGACAAGCTGAAACTGACTTCTTTGTTGCATAAGCTCATCCTGAGAAATTGTGGAAAGACTCGTTGATGAAGAACACATAGTAAGAATTCCACATTCTGAATACCGTCACGTTTTCAGTGAGACATTTAATGAAAGCTCAAAACTTTGGCCCACGACTTCCGACTCTTTGATTGTTCCCTCTCCTTCAGTTCCTTAATCGATCAGCAAATCCTGGTAACTAAGTACTTCTGTTGTGTCTGTATCATGTGGCCATGGTTTCTCACCTGTAGCATAGTGGGTCAACCTGCATCCATGGTGGTAACACTAATTGCTTTGCCTCCATTCTTAGTGCAGTGGTCAAAAGATCTTTAAGAGAAATTTCATTAAAGTCCTTCAGGGGCCTTCCTGGTGGCGCAGCGGTTGAGCGCTGGGTTGCGAAGCTGCCAGCAGCCTCCCCGGCTGCTCCCCGCCCACCAGAGGAGGGTCCCACATGGTGTGCAGACCTCTCCTGCCGCCAGCTGCTCCCCTCAGCAGTGTACTTCGGTCCTTCTGCCTGCTCTAGCTCTGGTGAAATCTCTCACTCTCCCGTGCTTCTGACTACCCAGCGCTTGTATAAATAATAAATAAATAAATCTTTAAAATAATAATAAAGTCCTTCAGTAGCTTCCTATTTTTTTTTTTTAAGATTTATTTATTCATACAAGAACTGGGGTATAGGCCAGAGGGAGGGCAGTGGTGGTGGTGGGAGGATCCACCAGAGACAGAGTGGGGAACAGAACAGGCGGATTGACTGAAATGCACTGCTGAGGGGGATCAGCGGGTGAGACAGGAGAGGTCTGCTGCGCCATGTGGGTCACCTTCCTGCCCAGGGATTGAACTCCTGCTGTGGTGGCTGCACATAGCTTCATAGTGCTGCATCTGAACCCCTTGCGCCACTGGGGGAGGCCCCCCTATTATTTGTTTAAAGCAAGCAAAACATTCCTGCATAATGCAGTTTACAGATCTCTGGCTCTTAGGCTGTGGTCCATCTTTAGTTTTTCTCAACTTGTTTGTGCTCTGACCACACTAGGTCATGGAGCTGCTGCCCTAGTTGAGAGCCTTCTTGCATAGCATTTTCTGAGAAAACTCAGTCCTAGATAAACTAGATTTCTGCTAATCGTCTAGTACTGCCCCTCAGTTGCTTGCGCTCAATAACCTTGGACTCCTCAGGGCATGCATCACAATCTGTATTGATTACTAAATTTCATCGCACCAAAGTTGTTTGGCCAGCACTGCTGCCCAATAACTACTGCTATGTCCCTTTTTTTTTCTTTTACATAGACATGCTTAAAATATCTGATGGGAGAATAGGTGTCAGAGATTTTAAAAACTAAGCTGCCTCTTGCTGTCAGAGAACTCCCTATCTAAATATTTTTAGCCTAGAACTATTCTTTAAACTTGTTCATCTGAATTGTCTATGCAGTATTTTACCTCTGTTTTTCAGTGTTTATGTGACCTTTGTGACTTACTTGTGGTAGGGAAATGCAACCAAGTCTTCATTTGCTTATTGAGCCTGCCTTAGATACACAATGGGAAAACTTGTTACTGCTTTTGCTTTTGTGTCAAGTTTGACCTCAATTTCTCAGGGAGCTAACCCCAGGGCCTCCCTAACCCAGCCAATCTGTAGTAATGACAAGTGGTAGGCAAAGGGGCAAGAATTTATGCAAGGTAGGCTGAAAACCCATACTTAACAGGAATTCTTTCATCAAGGGGAGTAATTGTAGTTACCTGACAGTGTGGGGTATGAATGCCCTGAGTCAGTGTGCATACAGTGTTCTGGGCTTAGAAAAAATCTTGGGAAGTGTTTAGGGGTGCCAGACACACATGTATCATGGTTTGATGGTTGGCAGCTCAATGAAGAGTGGGGAGGGGTTCCTTGTCAAACCAGATTTCATCAGAATTCAAAACTTGGATCCATTTTAACAAAGTCATTAGACCTTTGTACTATAGTAATGTTAACCAGTTTAAATTACCATGACGTAGAGTCCCTGAGACCTGAATTTGTATATACTTGTCCAGTCACTGATGCTTTTAGGAAAACTTGAAATGGAAGCCAAATTATAATAATTACATATGTAATCTGCTGTTGTGTGGGTCAGAAAAATATATAGTTGGAGAGAAAGCACGATAAAGCAATTTGTAGCAAAATATTAAAAATTGACGAGTGAGGATAAAAAGAATGAAATTCTTTGTACAACTGCAAATTTTTCTGAGTTTGAAATAATTTCAAAACGTTTTAAAAAGTGCTTCTGTCATCCTGCATGAGTATTTTGATCAGAAAGTTATCAAATGTATATTCAGCAAAAAGAGGCGGCAAGTATACAGTGACTGTTAAAGAAATATTCTCTGGAAGAAAAAACCAAAATCACTAATATTCTGGTCCCTTTTATAAGGCTGGACCTGTGGAGATGAGTCAGACTGAGATACATGGTTAATTACTCTTGTTCTGTGCTCAGAAGAAACTTGTGAAGTATATAAAGTCAATGAAGAGTTGCTTAAAAAAAAGGGGGAGACTTGGATAGAAAAAGTTGAAAATGGAGGAGAGCAGTTACTGATGTAGCAAAGGTCCTTCTAAGGGAGAGGAGAGCCAGCGCACAGGTAAGTGAATTAGTCATGCATGGAAGCAGAGGCAAGTCTTGCTCTCAAATGGCAGGAGAAGGTAAAAACGGACAGACAGTTGTGGGCAGTTGCATTGTGACATGGTAGTTCCAGCTCCAATATCTCTTCATGGCATAGGAAACAGTTCCAGCTTTTGAGAAAAATGACTGTGAGCAGAGTTGGACTTGGGTGGAGAGTAGAAAAATGAGATGAAATACTTAAATTTACGGGACAGCAAGGCTTAGGATTTGGTGTGGCACTGAGCACTGGGAGTAGAAGTAGAACTTGTTGGACATGTAGTGTGCATTCAGTATACAGGTAGTAAGTTAATGGATGGGTGTTTCTACGGTTTCAAGCGTGAGCAAAAGTGGGAGTTGAAGGAGGTACTGGTGAGTACTAGTGTATGCATCCTGGTATCTGGGCTATGTAGGGAGGGAAGTCAGGCTTTGAAGTGACCACTACACGTGAGGAAAGGTAGATTTGGGATTCATTTTCCATTGAGGTTCAAATGAATTTATTGAGGGGAGGAGTAAGAAGACTGGAAAAAAAACATTGTTTTAGAGTCCCTAATTCAAGGCATGATTGGAAGTAATAAAATGTGTAGTGATTGGAATTGAGGATAATTATCTGAGTCTGTCTTCTGCATGGAAGACACTTGGTGATGACAGGAGATAGTGGCTAGAAAAGAGTGGTAGTTATGTCACGGATATCATATCATCCTTTAGTGTTCTGCCTCAGCAACTGACATCTACAGAGGAGATAAATCAAAACTTGGTCAAATCAATAATTTACTTGTTCTGAATTTTTAGTCAAGGTATTAGAAAACAAGGGTGTCATGGCCATTTTAGAAAGCACGCTACGACTGGTATTTACATCGACAAAGATTAGTAAATTCCTTCCTACTTTTCTGCAAGAAAAGTGGAGGATGATAAATACCAATAGATCTATGACTGAAAAGCAAGAAGCAAGGAAAATGTAATTGAAATTTGGCCAAGTTCTGAATCACATACCTTCCTATAGACGCTGCACCTGCACTAATTGCCAGATAATTGGATGACATTGGAGGGTAAAACTGGGCATTTAGTATTTGCCTGGAGTAGGCTGGCTTCTGCATCCCTGCACACTTTAAATAGCTAAGAGGATATCCTAGGTAAGGGGATAGTTCTTTGTTTCTCTGCATCCTACTAGATCAGAATCTGCACTTTAATATGACCTGTGGTTGATTTGGGTACACATTAGTGTTTGAGAAGCTCTGCCTGTGGATCATTCTCATCAGCAAACAAGAGAGCACATTCTTTACTTTCTCCAAACCCTGCCTTTCAGGGTTCCCATCTTACTAGATGGCAGCTACTCAAGCTAAACAAATTGGGAGTTTTCCTTGACTCCTCTCAAATATTCTCCGTCCACTTCATCGGCAAATTGTGTTGGATTTTGGGACTCTGTATTCTGCAGCATCATCACTTCCATGCTTCAGTCCTAGTTCAAGATGGCATCATCTCTGGCTTGTGCTGGATGTGCTATAGCCTCTTATCTGGCCCCTCTGCTTCCACCCTTGCCTGCTATTGTTGGTTCTCCTGCAGTCAGTTGTAGTAATTCTATAAAAACATGACATTATGTTATTCGCCCTCAAAATCTTACACTTGTTCCCTCATACTTAGGATAAAAACCAAAGCCCTTACCATGGTTACTAAGACCTTTTGTCAACTGCCTTGGCACCTTTCCCTTGCCTCACTCCTAAGTCCGCCTGTTTGGCTGGTCACCAGCTGCA